GCGATGTCCAGCTTCAGAATTTTATTATTAGGTGAACTGGAAAGTAATGTCGTTTTTGCAATTTTAAATATTTGTTTATCATTCATCAGCTCATTGATTTTTATCAATCTGGCATTGAAAATTTTGCACATCTGATGGCAAAGGCTACTGATAATGAGAGCAATTTCATAATTGATTAAAAATAGAAATTTATTAAAAATTTGTTTGAATTTAATGTAAAAGAAACGACATTACTTTCCAGTCTACCTATTATTTTCGTCAGTACTCAGTAAAATATCTGCCGGTCGCGAATGTGTTAATGAAAAGATTATCAGTTGCAAGGAAAAAATTGTTCTCGTTGCTTCCGGAATGAAAGCTAACGCATAACTTTCGTTTATCATCTGCTTAATGTATTCTATTTGTATCGCGTTTAATCTGGATCGTATCTGGAGCACTAGAAAAGCGAAACATCTTTCTTTTGTAAATTAAAGTGATCAACTTTCAAGCGATCCCAGGGGGTTATTCCACTTTCATGATAGAATCGAAATTCCTTTTGTTATATGTCCATACGTTTAGTTCACCTGCAATATCGCAGACAGTATACAAATTATACAGTGCTAGTAATAGTAATATAGATAAGCAAATTGATCTCTATAGCTCGACGTTAGCCAATTTTTGTTAAATTGGCTGTTTCTGTTTCTTTCAATAAATAGGTAACATTTTTAACCGACTTCGAAAAGGAGTTACTCAACCTGACATATATATATCGTGAAATTTAAACATTTTATTAAGTTACCCCCTGTTTTATAATTTTGTGAGTTATTGAAAAATCCTACTTTAAACTATAGTCGTATGTATGTAATTGAAGAAAATTTTTTATTTATTGATTTCAAATGTATGCTATAGTCACGGATCTGTTAACTAAGTACCAACATTTTTTATTCAAATGCTCATCTGCGCATTCTGTCGAACATAAAACTTCATGTTGGCGTTTTGAGACCAGTTTCTGTTTGCTTAAGTGTTCACTCAAACATAATAAAAGTTTGAAAACAATTCATCCTGCATCTTCTTTAAAAACAATTTCTGAAATTTCTCTATCCGGCGTTGATATCATGTTGTACTCTTTTGAGAATGTGTAGATTCACTTGTTTACTTTAAAGAAAACTCGAAAATTTCGTAATTCTCAACGCTTTAACTCATAGCGCTCACAGTTCCCCTCTCCTGTAACGCGTCTCGTTAAATAAATTGGAGATATACTCCCACGTAAATCTTACGTTTTCCTTCAGACAGTCGTCAGCCCTTCTTGCACGAAGGAACGATCGACGCCCATACGTTCGCGTTGCGAGCGATCACGTAGGAAGCAATCCTTTCGTTTCTTTTTCCTTCGTCGTCGACAGGTATAGGCGCATAAATAAAATATCGCCACCTCCGCGGGAACGACGAAATTTCTGTGTCCATGATAGGTCGTCATCGCGGTCGTTTCGATGCGCACGAGTCGCGGCTATCGCGTAGGTAGGTGTTTATCGGACACTGTAACATGCTTTGGTTATTGTAGCACACTTTTTAAAACTTTTTCAGTCGCAGAACTTCTTTTATCTCACGATCTATCTACGGAACATTTTTCTACTTTTTTACTCATGTTCTCCTGACAATCTGTATCTTAAAATGAAAAACGGATAGAGTAACCTGTACCATTTAAGTGTAGGGAAAAATGTAGTCGATATCTTCATTACCTTCTAAGAAAGCAGCTTGTAACACCTTATATGGGACAGCCTGTATATGTATACACTACTGGTCACTAATAATCAATATACCACGATATTTGCAGTATTTTGTCGAAGAAGGACGGAAGTAAAAAGCTATTTTATAATAAATTCATATTTATTGAAATGGAGTAGTAATATTTTAATTCATTGGGAGGGTTTCAAAACAATTAAATCGACGATTTACTCAAATTTTTCTTTCATTAAATTATTCGCCCTTAGCATAACATACTCGAGACCTTCTAGCTACCAATTTTTCAAAAATTTCAGCTTTGACTGTCCATTTCTCTTACAGTATATTCCACGAATGATTTTTATTCATAATTCGTTCTTCTCGAGCCCATTTGTCAAGATAAACCCATAAGGAATGTTGTGGGCTCCCGTTGTGGGGATCATATACTGTTCTGTTGTGAACCTCGTTATCTGACAAGTTATATATATCCAGTATTTTACGATAACTATGCTGATATGATACAAATGAGTGCAGACATCCCTTACAATAGAAGCTCAACTCATTTATGTACGGCAACCGTTAATTACGTTCTTCTTACTTTGAAGAAGTTATGGCTGTGGTGGTGTATTGTAATTAATAGCCGGTGGTGTACTTTTTAATTTAATTCGAGTATTAATTCAAGTCGATTAACATTACACGAAGCGACTAAAGGATTAACAGTCTTTCTTCGAGGGTTCGATTAGAATCCATTGTTCCGTCCGCTGCAAGTCTCGTTTGGAGCATCACGAGCCACGGGGTAATGATTGCTTGTATACACGGTTCACATCAGCTACAATCCTTCCCCAGGCGATTCTCCCGTACGTGGAATAACTAATAACAAAATTAAATCGGTGTACATATGTATTTTATCACTATGCACTTTGTTTTTTAGGTGTCTCAAAAGTCACGTGTCACATTCATTAGTAGGTGGGACTTGTTCTTCCTCCAATATTGTAATTTACTCGCTTGGGATGCTACTTGCCGCGTTCACGGAATTTCAATTATCATTTAAATCATTCTGTCAGCGAATGAATTACTTCTGTTTTGGGAAAAAGAGAGTCTCAAAAATAAATCTAACATGCTACGGGACAGTTTAGATTTATCTGTCGTGGCGGATACGGGATAACTCTAATACCGAAACCGGTTGGAATTGCTTTTATTGAGTTAAATAGAGAACGTTGCAGTATATATTTTACTTTTATGTAATTGGATCAAATTCGTTCGATGCCAGTACATGTTCTAAATATGTACGTTATCACGGTTATTTACTGTGATATAGGAATCAGTGGCATAATTTGTCATTAGTTATTAATGAAAAATTAATTAATACAATTTAATTTCTTATAAGTTATAAATCCCCATGAAATGATGCGATGTATATTCTTTTAGAAGTTTCTGTAACATACTGTTACTATTGAAACTGCTTCTATAACCTATTGTATCGTTAACAAGAAATTTTTTCTTCCCTAATTCTGTTGAATTTTATTTTAGATAAGTTTCAACAATGGGAGAATTAAATTACTCATCCTTTATCTTAGTTTTATCATGGTTTTCTGCATTAAAATGAATTCATAGTGTATTAATTCATATATCATAAGTTAATTACGTTCATCATAATACTATCTACACAATGCTAAAAAGAAATTTTCTTTTTTCTTTGTTGTACCTTATCTCTCATGAATCTCAACGGAATAAAGAACTATATTTATTTAACTTTATTATTATCTGTGATATAGATATTTCATTTATAAAATATTTATAAGTATTTATAAATAAAGTCGTATAGAATTATATATCTGCGATAAAATGAATTTATAAAACATTATAAATGGCTCGAGTCTTCTTCATAAAAGTCATAATAGATGTTCTACAAATTACAACGGTAATATACTTTTTAAACTTTTTGGTTTATATAGTGATTATCAATAGATTGTAGTCGCTAAATATTGTGAAGTTCTCCTATATTGCGAACTGCTTTTATTTATATCATACAAAGAAGAAATACTAAATTTGACGATATATAACAGTGAGAAAAATATACAATTTTTATTTTTCAATCAAAAAGTTGGAACCACCGATAATTTTCTGTTAAAAAGTAGAAATCACGAAGCGAAAATGTAATTTACTTTCTCAAAATTTAATTGAAAAATATTACTCATTCAATGAGTGATAAGCAGTTTTTTTCCAACGTAGCACAATTTTAAAAAAAGACTCGAAATCGATCAGATCCGAAAATGATGTATGTGCCATTTTGTCAAAAAATCAACTTCCTCGTAGTCATATCTGATAAATTTGTATCGCTTTTTAAGTGCCAACCAACCTTGAAAATGAAAAAAAAAAATAGAAATAAGATGGCAAGTTTATACTGTAAAGGGTTTTAATACTTTTAATATCTGTGTACAGTATTCTCGTCACATTTGTACTGTATAATAAAAGGTATACTTTTGTAACAAAAAATCATGCGTTTAAGAAATATTTATTGTATACAACATGTTTAAAAATTAATGCAGAATAAAATGAATACAATTTTCTAAAATTTTTACGATTAACAAGATATATCATTTAAGTTCCAAAAAGTCCCACGTTGTAAGAAATCGGAATGTGTCCTACACAAAATAACAAATAAAAACGATAATAGTAATAATAATAATAATATTAACAACAATAATATCGGTATATACTTTTTCCTTTATCCTATCTGCTTCTTAACATTACTAAATTACTGAGCCCGCATTTCATGTCAATATTTCTTATAATTTAAAAGTTATGGAGAAACAGTGCATACTTTTCGGATCGGCACCACTGTACGACTGGTTATGAAAATCTTTTTATTTTATACACTGCATATTTAAAACAGTAAAATTTCAAAACATATTTAGTAATTTTTATCTTCGCCCTAACGATACAAATACGTGATGTGCAGCTTCAGAATTTTATTATTTTCGTCACTACTTGGTATTAGAAACGTAAAATATCTGCCGGTCGAGAACGTGTAAATGATTCGAATAACCAACAGTTTTTAATTCTGCCTTTTCTTTTGGATCTTCCGCGGACATACTTACGACCTCGGCGTACGGAGTTTCGCGTCGCGCGCCGCCCCCGCGCAAACACACCGAAACTCGCTCAAACATTCACCAAGCGTTCCGACGAGTCTCGTGCACTCCCCAGGAAGGTCGTTTTCTTTCCTCAGCGGCCGGGCGTAGCTGGCTTACTACGCCAACGTTACTCCTCGACTCACGCGTTCGCGTCGCGTCAGTTGTAGCGTAGCGCTCGTGGTGTGCGGTACACGGTATAGCTCGCTGGTGATTTCAACGCTCGTAGAGACGCGCTGTTCAACTCGTCAAGCACCGTACGGGATTGTCGTTGATCATCCGTCGCGTTCGAAGGAAAAATCTTCGTCGAGAATCAAAACCAACGAGTAAAACTGACTCGAGTTTTCGCGGAATTTGAGGGACTGTCTCCGACTCGCGAGTGCTACGTCCTCTTCTCGAGGACCGAATTAGAGGATCCTGCGAGGTGGAGACTAAACGACAGTGACTCTACATACAACCAGTGGTCCGTTTGAACATTTCTCAAGGATTTACCCCGTCAGTGTCTAACAGTGCAATCGGATGCGCTCAATGCCGCTTGTTCGCCAACTGTAAACATGATTCCCGCGCATTGACGTTACGCATCGAACCGCGAGTGCGGGCTGCACTCAGCTGTGAATTCGTAAAAGTGAGTATCTTAAATCGTGGAGGATCATTGTTATCAATGCATTCTTTTCGGTCTGGGTCTGATTCACGTGGCATCAGTAACGAGACAAAAGTTTATTCGAATATGTAGCGATTTATTCGATCGTACATTTGTGTTTTCATTTGTGCATTGTGAGACGTATTAACCCATTATTCGAGTTTGAATTTTTGTTTTTCTTGGGTTTAAAGTCTCATCGATTACAAAGGTTGTTAGCAACTGTAAGATAGAAGTCTTTACTCTTTGAGGCTAGCTACGTCAAAAACCTATCTTTTGATTAACTTTTCATGCATGGCGGGATATATCTTAACCCACTGCAAACAATTGAAATTACTAATGATTATATAGTTTAGAACTTTAATTAAAATTGTTCGTGCAACTGGCTATAAACTAATCCTAAATGTTAAATAAGAGAAAACAGAAATTTATACAAAACACATTATGGTAAGCTGTTGAGACGTTTGGACTGGCGAGATGTTGAGTAATTATTATTACTGGGAAGAGTACGATTAACGGTGTGGGAATAGTTACCTTTTCTCTGTACGCTTCCTCATTACGAAGATATTCAACAATCGGAGCACGTAGACTTTTAGATGCACGTCGAACGTCCGGCGCACTTCGCGAATGTTTAAGGATCGAGCTTCTGGCATGCAGCTGCGCTGTATTTAGGTGTTTATGCCATTCCGAAAGAGCTCTCTTTACTTTCCTGTGCGGATTCATTCTGATTTCGCTTTAGTTTAGGTTTCGAAGTGGTGAAATTCCTATCTTATACAAATTCTCTATCCATTGTAAACAAACTGTTTATTTACTACCGGTTTGATCATTTCAAAATATTGGTAATGAACACAACCTCAATGGATTGCATCAAAACAGGGTTCAGCGAACAAAGATATCTTAAGAATATGCATGTATTATTAAGCATATGCATATGCAAATACATATAAAATATGTCTTACACGAATAATCAATTATTTTGTACACTTTAATTGACTAGATCTAAAGTTTGAAGACTTTGACAGATATGTTTTAATATAAGCGAATTAAAATAAGAACATAGTAAAAATATAGAATTAAGGTTTTCCGAGAATTTCTTTACTCGACTTTCCACATGTTCTTGCTTGCCAATCACGACGCTTGCCGGTAATTATCAAGCGGCCTTCGCCACGATTATTTCTTTCTGTAACCTTGACGAGGGAAAAAGAAGATGCTACCTGTTGAACGACCTTTCTATTTTCAGCCAGCCTTTCATTTACATTAGTCGAATTCGCTACGCGGTGGCTTCAAAATAGTATCACGTAGAGACGTGGAAATTGGAGCAAGAATTTTGCCTGAGCTCGATGTTAACCTATTTCTTCTGGTGTGTCCTAAACATGGTGCCTTCTTTTTCGTTATAACATTGAATTGTTGACAATAATGCAGTATCATGCTGTCGAATAAGAGTATTGCTTATTTGTATACACAGAAAAATTCGGGTTTATTTTGTACTAAATATTACTAATTCAAATTGTTTAATGTACTGTACAAATGTTTCTTTCATTCGTCGCCACTGCTAATACTTTTATTTGAGGACATCACGTACTGAACTCTAGTGACTATTATTGTTTACGAATCCAGCGGCTATCATTGTTCATAGATTTAACTTTCTTATTTCTAAAAACCGTCCAGGAACTTATTCTTCTACTCGCAAAGCCTAATATCGATTATTAAATTGGCGGTGCAAACAATTTTTATGTCAAAAGAGCTATTTTTCTATTATTTATAACAGGGTCTCGAATATAGTTTAAGCGTCCTGGGTAAGTGGTGAAATTTTTAAACTCGTTAAAAGAATTTTTGAAAAATATCGCTTTACAGAGAATGACAAGACGACATTTTTTTATATTTATAATTTATTCATTCGATGTGTAGTTACAAAAATAAAAAGTACAAACTTAAAAGTACTTTTCTCTGAAATTCATTTGTGTACATTTGTTTGTTTCCACTTTGTGGGACATTTATGTAATTTTTACTACTTGCACTATTTTCGAGAAATAAATGATTCGTATAATATCTCTCCTACATGAGGATTTAATAAACTTAAAAACGTTTAATGTATTTCTCTCCTCGATACGCATCATTGCACATTATTGTCAAGGACAAGCAACAATTGTTTCACTAGAAATTGTTTCAAACGCGAACCTCCCTCGATACTTTTTAACGGTGGAAATGTAAAGCATCGTTTGCTGACAATTACTCATTTGCAATTAAATATTAATAAACAGGAACGGATTTTGTTTTTCTAGTGGTAGACATTGATGAATTCTACCACGTACTTATACGAAATTTAAAAGAATTTCGATGACATTTAAGCACGTTACAGCGATTTATATTTTTAAATGCAATTAAATATTGGAAAAAACGACTTTTAAGTTTTTAGTTAAACATTATTTTTGAAACCAAGTGTCTGATAAATAAACTGTAAATATAAAGGAAGTTTCGTCTTGTCATTCTACATATAAATATAAAGTATTAGTTTTTAAAAATTGTCGAATTTGAAAAGTTCAGCTATTTTACGCAAGGCTCCGGACTTTGATTCGTTACTGGGTTCCAATATGTACAATACATGTTAACTTTCTATAGACAAATATATGCGCCCTTCGGAGTCTGTGCCTAATTTTTTAGGACGGATGTATACGCCCTTTGCAATCAAAGGATTAAGAAGGAAAATCTAAAATTTTATTCTCAGAAGTGCAATCTAAAAACTCCTTGAAAATAATAAAATTCTACTTTCAGGTGAGATTAGAGGAATGTTGAAGCACGTGTCAGTCTCACCATGGAGAGGGCGAGCAGACAGCGTGAGTCTTGCCTCGAGCGGGGGTGCGAGTAGTTGCGGAAGCGGAAGTCCAACTCCTGGTCACACACCGCCGCCTTCGAGAGCGTCCTCTTGCGCCTCGCTCGCACCCCTAACCGCCCTTTCAAGCTTCTCTCCTGCCGACGCCAATCCGCAACAGGTAAGTCGAGAAAATCTTTCAATACTGATTCAATCACTTCATATTTAATTATGGAAATATTTTTATCTAACCCGTGGTGGTGCCTCCTGCCGTCACCACTAAAGAGACACTGTGCGTTTCTCACAAGTACTCGCCTAACTTTCCTATAACGTCTCGATCGACCTCGAAACATTCCGAACGAGCCTGCTAGGTAGTTTTACTGACGAGTCCAGCCCTAGGATGAAACCCTTCCTCCTTTTTCTCCCCTCTTTCCCTCTATTTCACAGAACAGCCACCACAAACCCAATAATTTGTTCCCCCGTGGCATTAAAATGCTTCTGTATAATTAGTAAATTTATAACTTTTAATAACTTCCTGGTACGATGCATAGAACATTAGATGTACACTACGCTGAAAAGTATCCGGAAACTTGCGAAAGACATTTGTATTAGCATTGCATAAAAGTTATTTAAGTACCTAAAGTAGTGACCAAAATCAATTTTCATTAGTTTCTTACGAAATATCTAACGTTTTAAATTAAAAGTTACGTATGTGGAACTTACCAATACTACACTAAGATTAAATACGGAATTCCTATCTCTCTCAAAAGAACATCAACAGTTTACAGACACTACTACATATCGAAGAACTTTCGGAACTCGTTCTGCATAGAGATGAAACAAAGTGGAACTTGAGATTCTTATAAGCAGACTTGGATTTTGTAGACCGTTAGATTTTGTATTTCTAGGCAGGAATTTTATTTCTGCATACTCAACATATAATTTCTACATAAAAATTAAATCCATTATGCTATGATTCTTCAAAAAAGATAACAATAATAATTACAATTGATATAAGCGTTCTAAATACCTTTCGTACAAAGTTAAACTATGTTGTATAGAACAAAAGAAAGTGTCCGGATACTTTTGAGCGGTAGTGTAGATGCTCGATCATTTTCAACAGGCGCAGTATCATTCGTAGATATCTCACAAACTACGGTGATAAAAAATAATTATCATTGAATATGGGGAAAGTAAAATGAGTTATCGGGATTTAAAATGTCCGTGGGTGTAACGCGTCCAAGCGATCATACGTGAGGGATTCAAGTACAATCCTTCCAATTATAGTTTAACCCTTTAAACTTTAATATCCTACGTTCCAACCGTTTAACTGTTAAACGGAGCTCGAAGAAAAACGAGGGACCGAGTCCCCTGGAAAAAGTCGGAGTCGCGTTGAAAGAAAGGTCGAAAGCAACGCGGGAGGGTACAAAAAGCAATGACGCGTTAGCTTAATGAAGCCAACGAGGAGAACAGAACATTATCCGTGACGGGCGTCGATGAAACTGCTTCGTGAAAACGAGAACAAAACGGTTCCCCGCGCTTATTAACAGCTGGACCACGTGTGTCCTTGCCTGGCCGGGCTAATGGGATCCATCGGCAAGACGTGTGTTTAATCCACGATTATTTCTGACGCACTCTCTCCCCCGATTACTACTGCTCCGAGAATAGCCGCATGCTTTCGGTTATGCAAACAAAACGTGCTTGGATAGAAAAAATCGCGGTATTGTTTCAAGGCGTACAATGCCAACGAAAAGCGCGTCATCGCGTCAATTACACTGGACGTCGCGTCGTTTCGAGATGTCCTCGGCGTTTATTTTTGTGGGAATAAAGTCAGGTTTCCAGGCCAGGGTGAGATTCTCACGATTCGTGTTCCCGAGTTAATCCCGCGTCGTGCGGTTTCGCATCCCTTTTTGCGCGAACAGAAACATGACTCTCCCGAGGCCCTTCATCCCGACAAGATGTTTAGGGAGGGCACTTTTTCTCGACATCTGCGTGGAAACAGGAGCGAACCCCCGTACGCTCTCGAGCCGTTCGAATGCGAATTTTTATACGTATGGAGCATTGCAGAATCTTGGTGACCCCCGGCCGTTATCAGCGTCGATGGAGTTAAACGATTCCAAGACCCAATTGGTAGATTACGCGTTAAGGCGCCTTGGCGCCACCACTCGCCGCGCACCGTATCGCCTAATAGAAATTAAGGTCGTTGCATTTAAAAAGCGCGTGGTTTGCATTATTGTCGGTATCCCAGTTTCTGGAGCTCCAGATATTAAACGGCTGCCTGTTGAATAATACACGGCGTCGATACTCGCAGTTTTCATTGTGTTTGGCGTTTGCTTGGCCCGTTTCACACGCGGGTGCGCAAAGGTCGTCGCAAATGGTTGACTTCTTCCGTTAGTTTCTTCTAGAGGCCATCTGCGACCGTACATAAGCATCCTGGCCACTGGCTGTGAATATTTTTACAGGTTAAACTCTCAGCCTTACGCCCTCGGTTTGTTCCATACGAAAATCTCTAATATCCAGGGACGAATCTAGGAAGAGACCAGCCAGACTCTAACTTCGGCCTCCCCTTGTAACAGTTGAAATATTTACTCGTCATTTCGTAACATTAAAATACGAACTTGTCGACCCGAGTCGATCTTCATTTACGTAAATGTATCTTTACTTTTTATATGTAATCTATACCCTCGCTCAGAAGTATGGGGACACTTCCTTAATAGAAATAAATATCTAATAAAAGTTGCGAATCTATTAATATAAATTGTATCATTTATGTTTTGATATCTTTATATTGCATTAACGAATATATTTTATTAATAGTTATTTTTTTTAATATCAGTAGAGATAACTAGATAATGTTAAAATTTCTTTTACCAAACTTGGATACTATTAATTGTTTCCTTAAAAATAATGTTTTCCTCTTTAATTTATGTCATGAATGTTTTTGATATATACAAAACTCTTTTTAAACTTTTCGATTTAAACGATTCCATAGTTCAACTATAAAATTAAATATGCCAGTCGAAACATTTAATATTATTAAATAATAAACATTTAATATTATTAAATGTTGTTAAATACACATCCAGTATAGAATTTAGCAACAAAAGTTGTATAGTAATAATTTACGGTGTATACTAATTATTCATCGAAGTTAGTAAGTGTCCACATATTTATGAACGAGGGTGTAAGTCTAACCAGACGTTCATTATAATGTAACAAGTCGCGCACTCATTGCTAGTGCTGTTAGAGAAAGATGTCAAAGGAAGAAGATGAATAGTTCAAGGAATATTATATTTACAGGATCAAATTTTGTTTATAAATGTAATGGTCTATGTATCATATATTTTGTTGTATAGATTGAATTCTTTCTATTGTTCTACGTACAAAAATGTTAAATAAAGGTGGTAACAAAATAATTACTCCATGAGATATTTTAAATTAATATCTTTATCGAAGAAGATACTCAAACGCTTCCTCACTACATTCTATACATTTCACTCAACGCCTTTTGACTGTTTTTATTACTGAATTAAAGTGATATGTATTTATTGTTGCACGCTGCAGTCTTATCTATACCGTTAGATGTTCAACAAAATTTGTAGGACTTGAATATATCTTATTTTGTATGTAAGTGCACAGAAAACATGAAAATAAGATTGCAATGTATAACAATAACTAATAAATTTTCTTAAAAAAGTGAAATCCTACAAATATAATATTCATCTTCTTTTCTTGACATTTTTCTCTAACCCCAGGTCCACACTGCGCGAACACGAAACAAGAACATACCCTAAAAACATTCGCAAGGGTGTTCTTACTGTCGCTAACATGCCGGCGAACATCTACGATCCAAAAGGAATAATATGCGTGACCGTAGTTAGTATTAATTCCTTAATATTCATCTAAGTTTTTATGCTTTTTTTGTTGTATCTTGATGAAAATATATGCAATATATTGACGAGATTTTTCTGATAAAAATGATATCAAACACGACGCAATTCAGACAATTTTGAGTTTCGCTTATGATAAGTAATAGATTTTGTTACAGCCTATATATATTACACATACTCTTCTTCGAGAAATGTTCGTTGAGCTTTTTTTTAAGACAGTATGCTTGCCTATTAATATTTTTTAAAATACCATTTTACGTCCCTTGTCAGCTTCACGTCTTAAAAAAGTTAGCTATGTGAACCTGATACCCGACTTTTCAAAAATTCATTCGTTTATGGAAAATAATAGCATTTCGTTTGTACTTGATTGAACCATTAATAGTTTCGTTTGTACCTTCATCAATTAATAAATAAAAAAAATCACCCAGCATCCGACATTGAGATTTTTGTAATCTGTTTTTTCACTTCATTTATACTTCACTAGTTTAAATTTTACAGAACAATTGTCGTACGCGTAAGAAAGGAGTAAATTAATTTTCAAAATTTTTTTAATCTGTTCTTCCTCTGTGCCTGTAACTTTCATTTTGAAAACAATGCGGTCTCATTCCCTTACATTTCCACTTCAAAATGAGTTCTTCAGAAATACGCAGAGTTGATGAGTGACGAACTCTCCTCTTACGCTTATAAACATTGCTTATAAATCATAAACTATTGAGGTACAAACGAAACGAAAAGCGATACAAACGGGCACAAACGATTCTAAAGAATAGGGAAAAAACAGATTTCAAAAATCTCAATGTCGGGTGCTAGTCATTTTTTTTATTTTTTTTTATTTATTAATTGATGAAGGTATAAACGATGGTACAATCAAATACAAACGAAATGCTATTATTTTCCATAAAAAAAATGAATTTTTGAAAAGTCGGGTATCAGGTTCACATAGCTACAAAAGTTACCTAGTTTTTTCATAGGCCCTAATTATCTCCTGGAAAGAATTTTACAATCTGTTTCTTATTTTCGAAGAGACTTTCTAATTGGTTACTGGCTCACAAAATCAAGTATTAATATTATAAAAATATTGCATATTGTAAACGAAACTTGAACTTGTCTGAATTGCATCGTGTTTGGTGCCATTTTTATCAGGAAAATCTCGCCAATATATTGCATATACTTTCATCAAGATACAACAAAAAATATACAAACTTGGATGAGTAATAAGAAAATAATGTTAACTTCGGTCACGCATATTATCCCTTTGGAGTATGTACCTACCTGCGGGTGGTCATAAAGA